AAAAAAAACTTTGATTATATTTAGAAATTTTTTATTATTATTTTACAGCCTAAACTATAAATTATTTTTTTAAATAATAAAAAGTACACAAAGATTTTAATATATAGGCATAATTAATGTTACAAAATTTACAGGAAAATTTTGTGCACCAATTTTCCCAACACTGTTATCTTGGACCCGAAAGCCTTACAGCTGAGAGATAGGAATCACTGTTGTAATCTGAAGGTCCTGAGGAGGTGCCCTCCTCACTGGTGGACCTGAAGAAATTCGGAAAAAGGCGAGAACCCAATGGAGAAGACGTTGGGGGCTTTGGAACGGGGCAGAGACGTTCTAGCATTTGGACAACTTTAGTCATTGATGGTCTCAGAGACATGTCTTCCTGTATGCAACACAATGCAACGTTTACAGCTGTGGAAACTCTGTCGTCGTTCTCAGCCATGGTCAATCTAGAATCAAGGATCTCCCTCATTTTCCCTTCTTCCATCATCTTGAAGGCATAGGATGGAAAATGAGATTTCTCTGAGCTTTCATCAGGGTCGTAGTTTTTTCTCCCAGCAATGATCTCTAGCAGGAGCATGCCGTAGCTGTAGACATCACTCTTCTCTGATATGGCGTAGTTTGTAATCCACTCTGGTGCAAGGTAGCCTCTGGTGCCTCTAAGAGTAGTGAAAACGTGGCTTTGCTCACGAGTCATTAGCTTTGCTAAGCCAAAATCCGAAACCTTGGCGAGGAAATGGTCATCTAGAAGCACATTTTCTGGCTTAATGTCACAGTGAATGATCTTTGCATCACAGTCTTCATGGAGATAGGCTAGCCCTTTTGCTGTACCCAGTGCTATACTGAATCTAGTTTCCCAATCCAGCAAGAAATCTTCTGTGTTTCTTCTGAAAATCCATTTATCCAAAGATCCATTTGCCATGAACTCATAAACAAGAAGTCTGTGGCTTCCCTCAGCACAGAAGCCTTTGAGCCTGACCAGGTGGAGATGATGGATGCTGCCAATGATGCTAACTTCAGCTCGAAATTCTTTCTTTCCCTGACCAATTCCTTCCAATTTCTTCACAGCTACGCGAGTTCCATCTGGAAGAACTCCCTGGTAAACTGAACCAAATCCTCCACGGCCTAGCCTAACAGAGAAGTTGTTTGTTGCAGTTTGAAGATCTCTGTAACTGAAACGGGTTGGCATCCCAGCCAAAGTCTCCAGGAAATCATCTTCCTCTGACGATTCTTTGGGAGATTCTTGTTCTCTTTTCTTTTTCTTGTAGTATCTATACGCACCAAAGAGAAGGCCACAAATGACAAGAATTGTAACAACAACTATTATAATCACAACATATGGAGCACCTTTCCCGCTTCCTCCACCACCTCCATTGTTTGCAGAATTGCCTCCATTATTCACCACCTTAACATATGCAGCAAAACCAGATCCCTGGGGAGAGCTTTGGAGGCCACCTATTTGATCAAACAGGAAACAGTTCCCTGTACTGCTGTCAAAGAACATGGCAAGGCAGGAGCAGTTGCCAAGGCATGATGCCTTGCAGCCCGTCAAATCAGTGTTTGAAGAGGGTGAAACAAAGCCAAGCGCAAAATAATTGAGCCCGTCTCCAGCATCCACAAGAGTTACAGAATCCTTTTGCTGCCCACAGGGAGAAGAAACACCTGTTTCGCAATTACTTGAGCCAAGAGCAGAAGGGCACTGGCATCTGGTGTCACCAGAACAAATGTAATATGCACCACAAGGTTCCGGTGTACTACACGGATCAAACGGTATTTTTGTTGCTGAAGGGGTTGCTCCATCATCGAGATTGTGGAAAGTGATAAAACCATCATTTCCTATAACTGCAATCCAAGTAGCATTTGCACTGGTGTCATCAGAGTATTTAAACTGCCATAGCAAGATTTTGTTCTTATCATAGAACCTCCATGAATTTGCACTAAAAGATGCAGAAGTGACACCTCCACCATTTGCATTAATGGTTCTTCGAGTGTCCTTTCCCATAGACCAATAGGGCTGTGGAGAAGAGAAACGTGCAGAAAGAATCAAGTCACCGGACTTGATTTCAAGAATATTGCTCAAATTACTCGAGCTAGGATTGCTAACAAGGCTCATTCCTTCAACAAAATCTTGGTTCGATATAAGGGTGTCAGTAGGATGATCAAAACTCCGCCAAATCACAGTGCTATCATTTCTCCGCAAAACCAAATTCCCTGAGTCCTGCAATTCCATGACAGACAATCCTTTGTTACCAGTATCTGTTTCCCAAACCACACTTCCCCCTTTCTGTAAGTAGGCATTGCCCTTAAGGTCAAACACAAAGTTATCAGAATTTGAAACTGGGGAGCCTCGGTTTCCTGTCCAGATTACTTGTGAACTACTTTCGTGGATGACAACAAGTAGAAACATGGTGACATCTTGAGTAGGGACGAAGCCAAAAGCAAAGTTTGAATTGTTTGATAAGAGAAAGAACCCATTATCATCGATATAACTCATTTGGGATGCTTGAAACGGTGGAGCCATCGTCCCAATTCTCTGGTGGCCAGCCATACAGATTTCACATGGGAGGATAAACAGAATGATAAAGCCCACAAAAACTACATAACGCCTGGTTTCCATCATAACTCAAGGAGGCAACAGCAAAAATCAAGATGCCACAAGAAGAAAGGAAGATTTTTGAACCTGGACAAAGTAGGATCTATAAAGAAGAACTGATTCTATTATACTCAAAAAACAACTCAGAATTCAACCTACCCAAAAACTGTGAAACCTTATTTGACAATTCCCTTCACCCAAGCCAACACTATAGCATCTATAAGCCAAAATTTTAGTACTTGATGCAACAAATTTGGAGACATATTGAGTTAATTATGCCTAAATTGAACAAAGATTAGAAATATTGGGAGCCAAAGCAAGGGTGGAAGAGAATATACTGCCTAGTCAAAAGGGATAGAATTCTGACACTTACATAGCCATGAAAACCAAAATTGAAAGTGAAGCTGGGAAACAGGAAACAGAATAAGCTCAGGAACTCAATTAGAGATCTTTAAAACCAAAATTAAGTACACCAGCAATCATTAAAGGATCCCAAATGAAGAGACCTGATAGTGACTCTTCCATTTTCCCAGAAATGGAAAAAAGAAGAGGGCTATCTATCATTCAAATTGATGATAGGGATGGTTACTCTCCATTTTCACCGCACACTTGGAGAGTTGATCCCGGAAACCAGTCAACACCCCTTGAGAAGAACAAACTTCATTGCAAGTACCCTCTTTTATAACCACCCACCAATAAAGGAGAGATACCATGAAAACCAACACCAAGAATGAGCGAGAAACGTAGCTCTCACCTCATTTTGCAGAAACAAATGGCTTTACTGACAAAGGTCTTCTGAGTTCTTTCCCCCCCACCACCAAATCTGCTTCTCCTTCAGTCACAAGACATCTGAAACTCGGCTGCCTTTTTATATTCCCCCACTTCTTCCTTCCTCCAAAGATTGGTTTGGAAACTGTCAAAAACTTCTGGTTAAGGAGGATTGATGGATCCCAAATAATATTTTTTTTTCCTTAAAAGTATGAAACTTTTTATAAGACCGTGGAAGCCGTGAGCACAACACCCACGTTTGATGTTTCACTTTCGTAAATTTTTTCAAGGAAATACAAAGGAAAGAAAATGAAAAGCAAATGTGAAAATGTTGATTGACCATTTGAGGGGGAAGATAAGGTCGGAGCCTGCATTCAATTTTCTTGTTGCCGTCGAGACTAGGGCGGCGGTTCCACAACTTGAACGAGGGTGGGACCCGAGCCAAACTTCGTTGCCCCCAGTTGGACTCACCACTTTACCGTCTTTCTCTCAGTCCCTGTGACGACAACGTGGCAGGCTTGAAGCCTAGCTCATCGATCATAATCTTGCATCATTAATTTTACAATTTTCTTTTAATTTTATGTTTTACTCGAGTATTGGCTTGAATTTATCATTTTGATTAGTTGTGAGTGTTGGATTTTCTTTATTGAATAATAATAAATTAAATAAAATTAAATAAACTAATGATATGATATAAATTATATTATTTAAAATTTAAAATATTAAAATGTAAGATTTATAGTATTTAATAATAATAGTAATTTATTTACACTTAAGTTTTGTACATTATATTTAAATATAAAAAGTTATAATAAATCTCGATTATTAAAAGTGAAGAGATAAATAATTAAAATTTTATATAAATATAATATATAAGTAACTTTTTTCATTTTATTAAGACCCAAATATCATATATATCAAATCAAATCATTTAATGATATGATTTATACCACATCATTAGTGTCTTAATTTCATCTCTTTCCTTCAATCCCTATCATTACTTGTTGAGTGAAAAAAAAAAAATTATATCTATGATATAACAAAAAAAACTCACCATAACTACTTTACCTATTATTAATTATTTTTAAATTCGATGTAAATTTTGTATTAAAATTTATATGCATAATTTTCACATTATTTTTCTTTATTTTGTTTCATTATAATTATATTGATTGATTTGTATTGAAAATCTTCTCGAAGTTTTCTTATATGCATTAAAAATTAAAGTAAACAATAATTTAGAAGCAAGTTTTATGAAACATTAGATTTGATGATAGATAGACCTCCTCTTAATAAATCCATTGAAATCTTAATCCAATTGGCAAGTGCACCTTCACCAATTTGAGCTGGATTTGCTTTTTCCCTCTTCCAACGTTGTAACATGCTGCGAAGAGTAGGGATGACAATTTACCTCGATCTTCGTGAGGTTTCATGAGGATCTTCGTCATGAGGACGGGACGAGGATGGGAGGCATTTTCCTTTCGTAAAATTTCGTGGGGAATTTTCCTCATCCCGTGGGGCCTCACAGGGATCTCCGTCCCGCGAAAAATTAAAAAAAAAAAAAAATTTATTTTAAATTTAATATAATTTTCAAACCTAAACCTAAACTCAAACCCAAACCCAAATCCAAACCCAAACCCAAACTCAAACACAAACACAAACCTAATTCAATAAAATTTAACCCTATTTTTTTCAACCCAACCCAATACTTCTTACCATTTATGTTTTTCTACTAATTATTTATATTAAATTAATTTTTATTTATATTTGATGTAAAAAATATATATTTGAATATTAGTTACTGGGGAACGAGGATCTCGTTCCCCGCAAAGAATGGGGATGGGAGTAAAATCTACCACCGTAAAAAATCCTCGCGGGTATCTCCATCCTCGCTATTCGCAAAAACGAGGATAAGGAGGGGTTTTCCAACCCCACGGGACCTTGTTGACATCCCTAGTGAAAAGAAGTGCTTATATGTATACTTTTTGCTTTATATAAAATAAAAAGCGTTATACAATTTAAATTATATAAATTAAATTATTTAAGGTATTTTTTATATTAAAAATTATTATTATTTTATTATTTTAATTTTATAATTAATATAATTTGAATTGTAAAATAAAAAATTTATTAAAAAGTTTAGAGGTAAGGGGCCCCGAGCCAAAGATACATGTGATTGCAATTTCAAAGGAGATTAATTATTGCACCTACAGTTAATTAGGTGGGGATTGAGAACATGCATTAAACTACACCTTCCGAAAGCTCATGTGACTAAGTGCAGCCAATTAATAAAATTTGATTGCCCTCCTCCCAAAATAATAGAGTACTTACCATCACAACAAGAATCAAAGTAGCTAAGACATATTATATGATATTGTTTTGGACAGGTGGCGTAAACCTTAAATATACTATTAGGATTATTGGTCATGGAATTAATGTATAATAAAAGTATAATAACAATATAAATATATAATCCCTTCCTTTTTTTTTTTT